TTGTTTTTTTTTTTTTTTTTTTTTTTTGGCTTCTTTTATCAACATCTACTCGGCCCAGGATACAATGGAAACATGCTTGGCATTATTGTTTTTTTGTTTGTTTGTTTGTTTGTTTGTTTTTTCATTGCTCCATTGAGGAGTTCTCACATATCTAAAAATACTTTAAATATAATTACAGGGACCAGCAGATAGGGTAATAGTTATGTTGTTGGGCTCCCATGTAGACGACTGCAATTCAAGTCCCAAACCCAGTGGCTTGAAACTCACGCTAGGCACTTGTGTGTGGATGCCCAAAATCCCTAGAGGAGAATGGAGGAGAAGGGATTGTGGCATGGCCATCCCTCCTAGGGGGTAATTTCTCATTTTCTGTCTTTCTGTATCTCTGAGAGCACATGCGCCCTATAGCAAAAATCTCTCTTAAATATATATATATATATATACATATATATATACACATGTATACACACACACACACACACACACACCCTGTCTCTAACACACACACACCTTTCTATAGAAGACTTGTTGACTTTGAGTTTTCAAATTATTTTTCTATGAAATTCACTCTAATAATGACTTATCTCTTATAGTCCACTGATATAGAAATAAGTATGAAATACATAGCTTTGCCATTAAAACATGTGGGTATCAGCCAGCTCCATGTGTGGTGGTTAAGGTGGCTGGATCCACGTAGTTGGCCACTTTCTTGGAGTCCCAGACCTAGTGGCTTGAGAAATATGCCAGACATGAGTGCATACGTGCCAAAATACCAAACGGAGAAAGAGATGGAGGAAAGGAAATATAGACGGCCATTCTCCATGAGAGGTGCTTTTTCCTCTCCTCTGTCTCTCTGACTCTATCTGGCAAATGCATGTGCCCTCTAGCAAAAACAAACAAAAAAAGGGAGGGTATGTTTTATAATTTCAGGTAATGAACTGTTATTTTAAATGTTGTAATGGTTTCTGGAAAATAAGAGAGAAATATAAACATGGGAATATTAACTTCATTAAATTATTTCAAAGATCCAACAAACATTCTGCTGATTTCTTCTGCAGGGGTAAGTGATGCTCAACAAAAATATATACTCAATTTGATATTAAAATAGAAGCTCATACATTATCATCTTCTGGGAAGATTGGTTAAGTATAATTCTCCTTGTGTAGATCTTGCTACAATCCTGGCCACATTAGTCATTTAAAGATGTTTGGTGACAATGAAGATGAGAGAAAAAATAATATATATGATGATGTTATATTAACTCATAAAGTGACTGTTCAAAATAGAAGAAAACGTTGTATACACTCGTGCATATCTAGATAACAAAGGATGTTTTTATTTTTGTATTTGTGTAACCAAAAGCACTTCACTAATGATCTAATTTTTCTTTTCTACTGACATCGTCATCTTATACATGACTCACTGAAAGAAAAAAAATTAAGGAAAAGTTATATAAGCTGCTAGAAAGAGAAGAATAAAATGCATGAAGCAAATATTACCTTTCAGAACACCACATATTACAATTAAAGTTGCAGGGACCTGCAGTTGGCGTAATGGCTATGTCACTGGACTCCCATGTAGTTGATTGTGGTTTGAGTCTCAGACCTGGTGACTTAAACTCATGCTGGGCATGTGTGCATGTGTGTCCAAGATCCTGAGAGGAGAATGGAGGAGAAGGGATTGTGATTTCTCACTTTCTGTCTCGCTGTCTCTCTCTTTCTGGCAAGTGCACATGCCCTATAGCAAAAACCTCTTCAAAAAAATAATTAAAGTTGCAGTAAGTTTTAGAGATAAAATGTTAGTTGAATTTCTTTTATATGAAAACCTGTAATAGTGAAGTAGAACCCTATAGAAAACTAATAAACTAAAAAAATTGATGTTAATTAAAACAAAATTTTGCAGAAGAAAACACAGACACAAGGTGGCAGATGATGTAGAGGTTCAGGTAGCCAGATTCCACATGGCCAACTGCACGGGTGAAGTACCAGCTTAGCAGCTTATCAAATACACCAGGTGTGTGTACATGCATGCTCAAAAATCCCAACGGGAGAATAGAGGCGAAAGGATTGTGGTGATTGTGGCGTGGCCACCTCCCTGGGAGTGATTTCTCACTTTCCCTTATTCTCTGTCTCTGTCTTTCTGCTGAGTACATGCACCCTATAGCAAGCTAAAAAGAAAAACAAACAAACAAACAAAACCCACAGACACTATCAGATTCAAGTGAATAACAGTTACATAGTTATATTAATACAAATTGATCATCAAGTTAGACTTTATTACTGTCATAAGGAATTTTGAGAGAGAGGATATTTGTGTTATTTTGGGAGAAGACGCAGTTACCAGAACTAGATGTTTCACTTAAATTAATAAAGCACGACATAACAGTACATTGTTTGGAAATACTGGCGTGGATTACATAATGGTCAGAAATGTTGAGTTGTGCATGAGAAATTAGCTGCCAGTTTAACTGTTTCCTCCTCTACCCTAGAGTTTTCTTTCTTCTATTATTCCAGCACAGGTGTACAAGCATATTCGAATTGTTAGTTGTGGATAGGCTGTGATGGAACAGAGAGCTTTATAATAAGCTTTAGTATAAGCTTTCTTTAGTCTAAACTTGTAAACAATATACAAACATTCTACAAATACTTTAAAAATTAAAAACCAAGAATAAATATGATAATAATAATACTACGAATAATAAAAACAGGACCTGGATGTAGTCAACTGTCAAAATTGTTAGAAAGAAAACAATGAATAAAAGAGAGTTCCTTATATTTAAGAAAAATGAGTTTTATTTACATTTTAATTTAAAAAATGAGTTTGGGATAAAATATTAATGAAAAAAAAATGAGATGAGTTAAGCCAAATTGCAGAAAAGAAGATTTTGACTTGGAATCTGCTTTAAAGCTAGTAGGGACAAGAGGAGTAAGAGAAGACTGGTCATCAAATCCCATGGGATGCCAGTGCACTGCATAGGCTTAGAGGCTGACGGGTGGTAGGAGGTCGCTGGTCACTGCGCTCACTTGGCGACACAGGAAGAGCAGAGACACCCTGTGGATACATGGAGGGTGGTAGGTAGGAGGGAGGGCTGTTGTATAGATGGTTCCAGACTTAACAAAGGTTTGGATATATACTTTTTAAAATAATTATTTAACTTCCTGTGTTATTATTAATTTTTAATTTAACCACAGAGAGACAGAGAGGAAGGGAAAGTGAGAAAACAAATTATGCATTAAGGAACCAAGGACAGAATTATTTCTTACCATTAGAAGCTTATTTCACCTTGGTGTTGTTTTTTAAAAAATTGATGCTATTTTTAGTAAATTTTTAACCAAATTTTTTTGGTGTGTATTCTTACCTGATTCATGCCTTTTCATCTTGCCATAATTAGTATTATAATAAGCTCCGCTACTATTAAATGCCTTTCTCATGACACTGATGATGCATAATTAGAGATTAATATCTTCAAATTAAAATGTACTTAGGCAATGTTTGAAGATGTTTTTATTTTTATTTTTCACACATTTCTTATATATTATGAATCTGAGTTATCAACATCTACTCGGCCCAGGATACAATGGAAACATGCTTGGCATTATTGTTTTTTTGTTTGTTTGTTTGTTTGTTTGTTTGTTTTTTCATTGCTCCATTGAGGAGTTCTCACATATCTAAAAATACTTTAAATATAATTACAGGGACCAGCAGATAGGGTAATAGTTATGTTGTTGGGCTCCCATGTAGACGACTGCAATTCAAGTCCCAAACCCAGTGGCTTGAAACTCACGCTAGGCACACACACACACACACACACACACACACACACATATAGTTACAACCAGTGACATTGTTTTAGAAATCTTTGTTAAACACTTGTTCTAAACAACTATATAAATTCTATAAATTCAAATTACCAAACTATGAGCATTGGGATCCAAGGTCTAATAATCCCATATAAGTTCAAAATGAGGGCCAGCCTGTGGCTTGGTGGTTAGGATGGCTGGATCCACATGGCTGACTACGCAGCTGGAGTCTCGGACTCAGTACCTTGAGAAACATGCAGGGCGCATATGTGTGTTCCTCAAATCCTGAAAGGAGGAAGAAATGGAGGACACTCGGACTCGGCACCTTGAGAAACATGCAGGGCGCATGTGTGTGTTCCCCAAATCCTGAAAGGAGGAAGAAATGGAGGACAGAGATTGCAGCGTGACCATTCCTTATGAGAGAAGTGTGCTCTCTTTCTCTCTCTTTCTCTCTCTCTCTCTTGCTCTTGTTCTTGTTCTCTCTCTTTCTCCAGGGAGCACACATGCCCTATGGCAAGAAGGCACCTTGAGAAACATGCAGGGCGCATGTGTGTGTTCCCCAAATCCTGAAAGGAGGAAGAAATGGAGGACAGAGATTGCAGCGTGACCATTCCTTATGAGAGAAGTGTGCTCTCTTTCTCTCTCTTTCTCTCTCTCTCTCTTGCTCTTGTTCTTGTTCTCTCTCTTTCTCCAGGGAGCACACATGCCCTATGGCAAGAAAAAAAATTAAAGAATCATTTATTTAATTTTATTATTATTATTTAATTTGCTATAGGGTACATGCACTCACTAGAGAGAGAAAGAGATAGAGATAGAGAGAAAGAAAGCAAGCCACTAGATCCAAGACTTAACCTGCAGTTGGCCATGTGGAAGCCAGAACCTTTAACCACCATGCCACCTGCTGGCCTCTCTGTCATTTTTTTTTTTTTTAAAGTAGGAAAATATGTAGCACCATTGGCAAGTAATACTCACCAATAGGGAATGAGGTAAGGAATCACTTCGTGGCCGCACACTGAAGCCACTGTGACAATGTGGCCGTGATTTCTCTTCATCATCGGTGGAAGAAGTGCTTTTGTGATCTTATAGATCATTGCAGAAAGAAAAACAAAACAGAACAAAAACATAAACAATGACACGGGTAGTTTTATTTCTGTTAAGACAGGAAGACATTTGAGAGAACATTTATAATGAAATGAAGCCTGGGCCAGGATCCCATGATTACTCCTATATGTACAGCCAGCAGAAAGGAAAAGAGCAAAAACATACTGATTTGAGCTGGCATGGAGTGCTGTGCTTGGTGCATCTCATGCCAAGGACCCATGTCAATATCCCCCCTTCTTCTCATCAGAATCACACAGCTTCTTTTTTGAATATGCTATCTAAACAGGATAACTAAGAGGAAAATTCAGTTTTCAGAACTGAACAAATTCCCCATGATAATCTGATCTTGTGGAATGTTTTGATTTGGGTTTTCCATTCTCTCAGGTTCTATTCTGTAAGAACTTCTGTAAACACAAAGAGCCAGAACTGCCAAGTCAAGCCAGACTTCTAGTCAAACAAACTTGATTCGTGATTTAAGGCAAAGAGCAGGCCAGTTTCCTGCCCAGAGGTCTGTAAACTCGATTATGAACTTCGTCTAACTTCAGAGAAGGGTTAGACATGCACAAACCAGAAAGGTTTCTGACTCACACTCACCCAAAAATGTCCTAGGATGTTGACCTCAAAGGTTTTGGTAATCTCGTCATCCTTGGTACTGAGGAGGTCGGCGGGATATATGGTCCCAGCGTTGTTCACCACGATGGACACGTCACCCACCTCTTTCTTTATCTTTGGGAATGGAAGGAACACATTCACTGTGTGTGTTATATAAACTCACAGTTTTAGGACCAAAATGATCCCAGGATCAGATTCTTTGTTCTACTGGGTGAGATCTCTCAGAATTTCGGGCAGGAATGAGCTTCTGGGTTATATAGAGGGTGCAAAGAAAATGCTGTCAAGTGTTTGTTTTAACATCTAAATTTAAGTACTCAGTACATCACTGATTTTGAAAACTTATCCATAAGATGAAATTAATATTTGTCTTAATAAATTGATAAATAAGTTCTGACCATATATACATATATATATTTATATATACATACATTTTATATATATATATAATTAATTTTCCAGATAGCATGTGCATTCATCAAAGAGAGAGAGACAGACAGAAGAAGAAAGAGAAAGGACCCCTGCTGAGCCAGCTGGTGGCAGGGTGGTTAAGGCAGCTGGATCCCACATGGCAGCACGTGTGGTCTTAAACCCGGACACATGAGGAACATGCCAGGTGTATGTAGGTGTCTGCCCCAAATCCCAGGGTGAAGGAGGAGGTAGAGGAGGAGGGATTGTGTTATGGTTATCCCCCATGAGGGGTACTTTCTCACTTCCCCCTCTCTTTCTCTTCTCTGTCTCTTTCTAGTGAGTACATGTGTCCTCTGGCAAATTTTTAAATGGGATATGGTTATGCCGCAATCCCTTCTCCCCTATTTTCTATTTTTCTTGCCCAGGTATGCACACACACCTGGCATTTTTTTTTTTTTTTAAGACTCTGGGGCCAGAATTTGAACTGCTCAGTAGATCTGGCTCCCTTAACTACTAGGCTACAAGGCCTGCCCCCAGTCACCTATTTTAAACATGTTAATTTAGTAATCCTGCTTCTACTACCTGGTTCTAGATATGTGAGCTTGGTCTGTCTTAATCTCTCTGGGTCTTAATTTGTTCATTTGTAAAATGAGATTAATAGGGTTATTGTAGAAATTAATAGGATTATTGTAGACGACAATAGTTTATTGTATTGCTTGGTTCACTGTGAGCATTTGATATCTATTCCTTTTGAAAAATATCATAATAATTATCAATATTACATTTTCTAAGGAAGACTCGACTAACACCAACATAAATAAAATCTCACAAAGAGAATTTTTTTTTCGAAAGAATTACTGCAAAAGTAATAGAACTAAAGCAAAACTAGAAAGTGATCCACTTTCCCTGCTGAAAAATTGTCTTGGTCAGTCATTCCATGTCACTGAGCAAACTTCTGATCTGAATGAAATTGATTAACTGTATAAAGGGATAATAGTGGCCAGAGTTGAGTAGGATATGTACAAGGAAAAAAGTGTATATTCTCCCTTAGTTACGTAACTACTTCAGATAGCAGAGGCTAAAATCTAATTTCAACCAAGCAGTCATAAAGAATCTTTTCATTTTCCACATCAGTGGCAGTAGATGCAAAGCCATCTGAAGAAACTGTGACCAGAAATCTCACCTGATCCACACAGCGGTAAATCTCTTCTCTGTTACTGCAGTCTACTACGAACGCCTGTGCGGTGACCCCTAGTTTTCGGCATTCTGCTGCAGTCTCCTCAACACCACGCTGTAATTGGGAAAACAAAATTATTATTAAAAAAAATTTTGCTATAGGGTACGTGTGGTCATGAGAGAGAGAGAGAGAGAGAGAGAGAATGAGCAAGTCACTAGGTCTGGGACTCAGACCATGGTGGGCCATGTGAGAGTCCAGTATCTTAACCACCACACCACCTGCTGGTCCTGGAGATAAAAATCTTTAAAAGATTATAATTCAAGGGACCAGCAGGTGGTGCAGTGGTTAAAATGCTGGGCTCCCACATAGCTGACCATGGGTTGAGTCCTGGACCTGGTAGCTTGCTTTCTCACTTTTTTTTTTTTTCTCTGTCTCTCTCTGGTCAAATTAAAAATAATGATAATGATGATAGTAATAATAAAATAAAAATAAATAATTTTTTTTTATTTACTTTTTTTTTTTGAAGAGTTTTTTTGCTGTAGGGTGCATGCGCTCACCAGGCAGACAGAAAGAGACAGAGAGACAGAAAGCGAGAAATGACCCCCCAGGGGGGATGGTCACGCTGCAATCCCTTCTCCTCCATTCTCCTCTCAGGATCTTGGGCACACACGCACACACGCCCGGTGTGAGCTTCAAGCTACCAGGTCTGGGACGTGAACTGCGGTCAACTACATGGGAGTCCAGCTACATAGCCATTACGCTAACTGCTGGTCCCAAAAGTAAATAATTCTTTTAAAAAAGATTATGATTCAAGCCAACTTGGTGGCACAATGCTAACACATTGCTCAAGTGATGCTGGATCCAAATGGAAGATTGTGGGTTCAGTTCCCTGGTTGACATATAAGTGCAAGGCACCCTGCGCCCATGAGTCTAGCTGATTGGGAATGGGGAAGAGGGATGGATCTTGGGGTGAGACCTTGTTGAGGGTACTTGTTTCTCTCTGCCTCTCATTCTCATTAAAAAAAAAAAAAAAACTTAAGAAAAAAATTAAAATTCATGTCCAAAATGCTGCCTTATTTGTAGGCAAACTTCTTGAGAGAGACTGCTTGCCAAATTAGCAATGACCTTTTACTTGGCTTTTCTGTCAGAAAATATCATATTAGCATCAAACTGAAAAAAGAATTCTTCATGTTTTTCTAGCGTTTCATCTTGGTTTGATGGTTTCCAGTAGGCAGTTTCTCTATTGCAGGCTACTCTCACAGCTTGAAGAACATTCATGAAAGATGTTGCTCTTTCTGTTGTCATGGAAGGGGATCGTTGCGTATGGAGAAGAAAAGAAAACCCACCAATCCAGGTAACGCACATTTACTGAGCGCCAACTAAGTAGTAAGCAGGAAAGTGCTGCGCAGTGATTCTAAACTAGTGGGAATCTGGAACTATATTTGTCCATCGTACTTTTTTTGATTCTGATTTATCCTCCTACGAGAAGGAAAGAAAGGATCCTTCTTTGAGAAAAACTCTCATAAGGAGACAGTGCTAGTCCCCTGGGATATAATACTATACTCTTCGGGTGTTTTAGAGTGAAAATGGGCAAGGAACACCAGATTCCTGCTTGTGGAACCTTGCTCTTCACTCCAGACATGGAGACAAAATCACTTACTGTCTCAGCCTAAAGTGAAAGGTCTCCTTCCTAAGATAAAATTGCCTTAATAGTCGTTGACCTGCATTTCTGGAAAATTAGAATATTTTTCAAGTCTTGACATATGTTGACCTTTAGTAAAAATATTTCAAGGGTTTTGCTTTTTTTTTTTTTAAGTACATGCACTCAACAGAGAGAGAGAGTAATAGAAAGAAAGCATCCCCCAGGGGAGATGGTCATTTCACAATCTCTCCTCTAATTTTCCATTCTGTTGGGATTTAAGGCACATATGCACACACACACACACACACACACACACACACACACACACGCACAGCTGGCACATTTTTCAAGCCACTGGTCAGGGATTTGAGCCACAGTCAGCCATGTGGGACTCAGCTCCCTTAACCACTCGGTCGGTGCTGGGCTGATCTTCCAGTGTCTCTCACTTTTTTTTTTTTAAAGAGTTATTTATTTTATTTTATTTATTTATATCTTTTAATTTGACCAGAGAGACACAGAGAGAGAGACAGAGAGGGAAAGTGAGAAAACAAGCCACTGCCAGGTCCAGGACTCAAACCACAGTCGGCCCTATGGGAGGCCATGGGAGCCCAGTGCCCCAGCCACCATGCCACCTGCCCACCCCTCCAGCATCTATTGAGCAGTGCATTTTTTCTGTGCCACAGAGCTGGCTCTTAAGCTATTTTATCATGGCTTCCTTCTAATTTTACTTCTTTCCTGGGCATTACTAAGCCTTTTCATGGATTTATACATATATATATATATTTTTGTTTTGTTTGTTTGTGGAGAGGGTTTTGCTATAGGGCACATGCACTCACCAGAAAGACAGAGACAGACAGAGAGACAGAAAGTGAGAAATCACCCCCCAGGGAGGATGGCCCTTCTCCTCCATTCTTCTCTCGGGATTTTGGGCACGCACGCGCACGTACCCAGCGTGAGTTTAAGCCACCGGGTCTGGGACTCAAATGGCAGTTGACTACGTGGGAATGCAGCGACATAGCCATTACGCCATCTGCTGGCCTCATTTATATTTTTAAATAAAGGATTGACAACAGCAAAAAAAAGATTTTCTCAATTTGCCCATTCTTTTCTTCTAGAAAGTTTACTATAATCTCTTCAAGGATCAAACTGGTAAAAAACCATTTTCCTATATATCAATTTATCTATTATATAAATGTACATATCTATTAAATAAAAATGTATTAAATTTTTCCTTTTGTAGTATTCTTTGCTTTTAGTTCAAGAGACTTTTTTCTTTTCTTTTGGAGAGGTTTTTGCTATAGGGCGCATGCTCTCGCCAGACAGAGAGAGATAGAGAGACAGAAAGCGAGAAATCACCCCCCGGGGGGATGGCCACACCGCAATCCCTTCTCCTCCATTCTCCTCTCGGGATCTTGGGCAAGCATGCACACGCACCCGGCGTGAGTTTAAGCCGCCGAGTCCAGGACTCGAACTGCAGTCGACTACATGGGAGTCCAGTGACATAGCCATTACACTAACTGCAGATCCCTAGAGACTTTTTTATTTTTAAGGGAGTTTTTTGCTATAGAGTGTATGTGCTTGCCAGAGAGATGGAGAGAGACAGAAGTGAGAAATCACTCCCCAGGGGTAATGGTCATGCCTTAACCCCTTCTCCTCAGGATCTTGGGCACACATGCACAAGTTCCCAGCATGAGTTTTAAGTCACTGGGTCCAGGTCTTGAACCACAGTTGACCATATGGGAGCCCAGTGATGTAACCATTTCACCATCTGCTGGTCCCTCAAGAGACATTTTTGAAGTCCCTAGGCAGTAGGTGCCAACTAGACATGATGACAAAGAACACAAGAGAGTAATGATATAATATCAACTAAATCTTACCGTGATTTGTGAATAATTTGATTCCCTGCCTCCCCCAAAAATTCAGGCAGCTAGTGGGGTGGTGGTTAAGTCAGCTGGATCCCACATGACCAACTGTGCAGTTTGAGTTCAGACCTAGCATCTTGAGAAACACATTGGGCAGGTGTGTATGCATGTCTAAAATCCCAAAAGAAGGGAGAGTTGGAGAAGGGACTGTGGCGTGATCATGCCCCATGGGGAGTGCTTTCTTGCATTCCCTCTCTGTCTGCGTGTTTCTCCTGCAAGCGTGTGTGTCCTCTGGCAAATTAAAAACAAACAAAAAAATCACTGCTTATGTCTCAGTATGTTCCCTTTGACTAACCAACCCAATGTATATGTAGAATAAGGTTCCAGGAATTGATCAAACTTTTTTTTTTTTTGAGAGGTTTTTGTTATAGGGCGCATGTGCTCGCCAGAGAGACAGAGAGACAGAAGGCGAGAAATCACCCCCCAGGGGGGATGGCCACGCCGCAATCTCTTCTCCTCCTTTCTCCTCTTGGGATCTTGGGCACGCACACACATGCGCCCAGCATGAGTTTTAAGCCACCGGGTCTGGCATGCAAACCGTGGTCGACTACATGGGAGTCCAGTGACATAGCCATTACGCTAACTGCTGGTCCCGGAATTGATCAAACTTTGAAAAAGAAAAATACAAAGATAAGCAGGGTCTGCCCTATAGTCTAATGGGTGTGGATCCGGATCCCACATGACTGACTGGGGTTTGAATGCTGGCCCCAGTGGCTTGAGAAACATGCCAGACACGTTTGCATGTGCAAATCCTGACAAGATGAAGAAATGGAGGAAAAGAGACTGAGATGTAACCATATCCCACTGGGGGGTGATTTCTCCTCTCCCTCTCTGTCTCTCTCTGTGCCCCCCAGCAATTAAAAACAAAGAAAAGAAAAAAGAAATTTAGAAAGATAAGCGCTCGCTAACTCGATTTTTAAAATAGATCTGACTTTGTCATTTGAAAAGGTTGGCAGATGTATACATTACCTTGTTAATGTCCCACAGAACCAGTCTGCTTTTTTGCTTCGCAAACTCATAGGCAGTCAGCCTGCCTATGCCGTGCCCAGCTCCGGTAATAAGGACAATCTCCCCAGCCACAGATTTTCTCTTCCGGGGAATGAAAAACTTGACCAACGATTCCAAGTAGGAGTAGATGATGGTGATCAGAAGCAGGAGGAGATCCAGGATAATGTTCATGGCTGTGGTCTGTCTTCTGGCTCTGGCCTCCTGGCGTTCTGTCACAGACACCCTCTGCACAGAGCCCCAGGGAAGGGTTGTGTCAGGTGTTGACAGGACAGCCAGGTTTAGACAGCTCTGGAGGCAGGCTCTGGCCACGTGTCCTAGTGGGCTGGATACATCTTGGGTTTTTGAAGCGATGCCAATTGCTAGCAAAAACACAGGTCGTGAGAACTGAGAATATGCTGCCTGGACTTGCCTGAAAAACAGTTGTGAACCGCGTGTCACCATAAAGCTTCTCTTCTAGAAATCATTCTGGAGATATTGTATCAGTGAGTGATTTCTTTTGATCTTTCTAGAGAATTTGTTTTTAGTAAGGGAACAAGAGAAAATAGAAATAGTATTACTGGGACTGTCGGACGGTGTGGTGATTAAGGTACTGGACTCCCACACGGCCGGCCATGGTTCGAGGTCTTGGTGGCTTGCTTTCTTGCTTCCCCTTTCTCTAATCATATTAAACAATATGATAATAGAGCCGGCCGGTGACATGGTGGTTAAGGCACTGGACCCCCACATAGCCAACCATAGTCTGAGTCCTGGAACTGGCAGCTTGCTTTTTCACTTTCCCTCTGTTTTTATGTCTTCCTGGTCAAATTAAAAAAAAAATAATAAACACAATTAAGTAAATAATTCTCTAAAAATAATGATAATAGCAAATGGAATTAATGAAATTATTTATTTATTCTAAAAATATGATGATGATGACTTGGAACGGACCAGTCTAACCCGGCTAGCATAGAACACTTGACTCATGAAATGAAATTTGGGCTAACTGCTCATCCTTATTTTATTTTCTCTGCAAGGAACCTAATCCAGAATATTCCTTAAGTATAAGACTTCTGACATGCAATGGCTCACTGCAGTCCATATCTAAATCAAATAAGTTTCTAACCCACTGAGGTAGAGAACAGGGCCTTGCTCGGGAAGCTCTTTTCTACAGTGAAGGGAAAACATGCATCTGTATAAGACACGAAAAACTCCTTTGAAAATATGACTCAGAACTGGAAGAAGCAACAGCACCTTCAAACAGACACCTAGTCAGGCCGGCTCTGTGGCTGAGGGACTGAGATGTAACCACGCCCCACTGCGGGGTGATTTCTCCCTCTCCCTCTCTGTCTCTCTCTGTGCCCCCTAACAATTAAAAAAGAAAGACAGAAAGAAATGTCAAAAGAGAAGCCCACATTAACTCAAATAATTTTTAAAGTATGTCTTACTTCGTCATTTGAGAAGGCTGGCAGATGTATGCATGTCAGCAGGCTAATCATTTTAATGTGGTGCCCTTTTCCCCAAACACCTCTTGGGTTGGGGAGAGATTTCAGGTTATAAATCAATTCGTTCCCTTTGCAATAGGTTTGGAAAGAGCCCGGGAGTCAGCAGTCTCACCCTGAAGGGCTATAGCATCTGTCTTAATCCAGCCGGGCTGCCGCAACAAATAGCCACAGGCTTCATTAGGAGAAGGGATATGGAGGTAGAGCACTGACGGATGGGGAGATGTGGTGTTATCGGTTGAAGATATTTTGATCAACAGGACGGGGGAGAAATGTTCACATATTGAAATGCTCACATTGTAAGCTAAACAATGTGATTGAATGTATATACAAAAATAAATAATAAATGAAAAAAATTTATAAGCATAAAAATAAATAGCCACAGGCTGAAATGTATGAACAACAGGGGTTCATTTCTCACAGCTCTAGAGAAGCCCGAGACCAAGACGCCATGGCAGAGCCCTTAGGACCTAAAGCCATTCAAAGTCTTCTTTTTTCTTCATCACATTTGGAGTTAGGATTCTAACAAATGGATTTTGGAGTAATGCATCCAGTCTATAGCCACTTCCAATAGCCAAAAGGTGGAAACAATCTAAGGGTTATAACAGATGAACAGATAAATAAAATATGGAATGCACACACACACACACACACACACACACACAGAGGATTATTATTCAGACTTAAAAAGGAAGGAAATTCGACACATGCTACAGCATGGAAGAACCTTAAAGACATCTCATGCTGCATGAAATAAGCCAGACACAAGGCCAGCAGGTGGAGCAGAGGTTAAGGCTATTGGATCCCACATGGGTGACCGCATGTGATTTGGGTTCCAGACCCGGTGGCTTGAAAATCACTCTGGGTGTGTTTGCATATATGCCCAAAATCCCCAGAAGAAAAATGGAGAAGAATGAGGGATTATAGTGTGGCCGTCTCCCCAGGGAGTGATTTCTCACTCTCTTCCCACCTGCCATCTCTTTCCAGGGAGTACAGGCATCCTATAGCAAAAAGAGAAAATTAAAAAAAAAAAAAAGTTTCACCTTATTTGTGAAAAAGAGGACTTGAGAGGACTTGACTGTATCGTTCCACGTGCAGGTTTGCAGCGATGCTTATATGGGAGTGTTGGATATTAACATAGGTGGTTTAGACCAGGCTCTTTCTGAGGTGCAAGGCAGGAATCTGTTTGCAGGGTGACTGTCTACAAGGTCAACTTTTAACTTGGTCGTGTGGGCTGGACCAGAAGACTGACGTTGCACCAACACGTACACTACTGATACACTTCTGAAAGACAGTTCAAGAATTCACAGTAGGGTCTGGATCATTTTTCCTATCAGGGCACCTATACTAACCATGAATTAAGAAACTTTGACACAATGAAAAGCATCAGTTTGTGTTGTTCTCAGACAGGGTGGATACTGAGAAATTTCATGCAGCCTGTGAAATAACCTGGTGAATTCTTTTTGATTGTTTTCCAGATCCAGAATATTTTTGTTCTGCAGATACAGGGTCCTACTTGCCTTGACAATGCTTCAAACATACGATATGCCCCTTGAGTTGTTTTCCTTAAATTTTAGAGGTTTTTTGTTTGTATGTCTTTATGACATTGGCTTCATTTCAATAGACTTTCATATAATAAGTAAAAATGTTTAATCACATTTCAGGTTGGTTGTTTCATACTGATATGAATGAAGAATCATACCTTGAATATATCATAATTCATTTTCACTTCACATTTTTGGATGAGTTGTTTTCTGTAAAAATTCCTCAACTAAGCAAAAACTACCCACAGCATTTAGAATCCTTTTTTTTTTTTAAGAGATATTTTTGCTATAAGACACATGTGCTCGCCAGAGAGACAGTGAAAAATCACTCCCCAGGGTGGATGGCCACACCACAAATCCCTTCTCCTTCATTCTCCTCTAGGGACTTTGGGCACGCACGCACATGCACCTGGCATGAGTTTTATGCCACCGTATCTGAGATTCAAACTGGGTCAACTACGTGGGAGTCCAGCAATGTAACCATTACGCCATCTGTTGGCCCATCTTTTTATCTTTAATTTTTTTGCCTTAGGGTATATGCTTATATCTTTAATTTTTTTGCCTTAGGGTATATGCACTTGCCAGAAAGAGAAAGAGACAAAAATAAAGAAAGTGAGAAATAACTCCTCAGGGGGAATGGCCACACTGCAATCCGTTTTCTTCCATTTCTCCTCTTGGGATTTTGGGCACACACGCACAAGTGCCTAGCATGAGTTTCAAGCCTCTGGTCTGGGACTCGAACTGCAGTCAGTCATATGAGAATCCAGAGACCTAACCACTATACCATCTGCTGGCCGGTAGAATCTTTTTAAACTGAAAAACTTTCTGAATATTGCTTTTTTCCCCCTGTTCATTAATGTTCTTCTAGAGGGCCAGTTGCCTGTCAGTTTTAGAAATGTAATTATCTTTACACGGGTAAGATAATTATTTTTGTGCTGGTGTTAACAATCAGGAAATAGCTGGAGCAGGGTAATTAGCAGGTTTCTACTCTGGGTAGTAATGATATTAACATAACATTTATGTAACAGGAAGAAGTGAAGAAGAGAAAGTGAGAGAACATTGGCAGAGGGCATCTTCCAACTGATTTTGACCTTCCGAGTAGTCGTTCTTGTGCCATCGAACACTGGAGAGCTCAGAAGCGTTGACACATGTAACTTATGGAGACGAGGAAGTATATTTTGGTGGAAAAAAGGCCAACACTGACTCATCGTTTTCTGGAGACCATAAAATGAGGCAATTATAAGATTTATGCTTATTACTTTAATTCATTATTTGTTTAGGCTAACTGCAATAATCTGCTAAGTAGAGGTTTGGGTACATAATCTCTTTGAATAACTACTCTTTCTTTTATTTCTTGGAGAGGTTCATTAGTTCATTGTCAAGGGTTTATGTACTGCAAATTGATAAAGCAGTATTAGGTATTCTATTTGGGGGGAGAGTTGGTTTTTTTTTTTTTTTTTTTTTGCTCTAGGGCACATGCACTTACTGGAGTGAAAGAAAGAGAGATAGAAAGCGAGAAATCACCCCGTCCCCCGGGGCGATGGCCATGCCACAATCTCTTCTCCATTCTCCTCTCAGGACCTGGGCACGCACGCACACATACTTGCCCAGCATGTTTTAAGCCGCCAGGTCTGGGACTCAAACTGCAGTCAACTACGTGGGAGTCCAGCAACATAGCCATTATGCCATCTGCTGGTCCCAGTATTAGATATTCCTAAAGAACGTACAAATCTCTCCTTGAGGCTCCAAAACCCCTATGCAAACATAAAAATCTCATATTTCATGAAGAGCTTCGGCATATTTCTGTTTTATTAAACCCCTTTGTTGCATTGCTCCTTTGTTTCTGCAAAGAATCCTGATGTGTATAATCTGGTTCTTGACCTTTCTTTTCTTCTTCCCCTGATTATTCTTCTTTCTCTATTAATTCAATCTCTTCCTGCCTAATGGATCTGTCTTTTCTGCTTTCATATATATATATTTTTAGATCTCTCTCATCATAAACATATTCAATGAGACTGTCCTGTCTTCCACATTTTACTGTCAAATTAATCTGCAGTGCTTACCTGACTTTTAGCTACCCATTTCCTGGGGAGGATAGCTTTACCCCTCTCTCCACCTGGTGCAAAGCACTGGGACAGAGCTGAGTCTGAAGAGCAACTGGAGTCCACAAGGAGGATGCCCGCCCTGAGGATGAGGCTGGGAGGGGAGCTGTCACAGGAGCCTGAAGAATGAGCAGGTCTAGGTCAGACGATGGAGAAAAGCGTTCCAGATTCAGAAACGAATGCAGGCCCCACAGGGGAGTGAGAGATCATGGTGAAGTCAAGGAATATACAGTGTTCTGTCTTGGAAAACAGGGTGTGGGGTGGAGAGGCTCAATTACTCAGGGCCTTCAGATCAATGAGGGCTAGCAAAAGATTTTGAGCAGGGGCCCAAAATAATCAGATTTGTATGTCAGTAATGCTGTGGCATGGAGGAGGCACTGGAAGGACAGACTAGATGGAGGGAAACAGGAAGCTCTTTAAGTAATCCAGGCCAGAAATGATGGCACAAATTGGGGTGCGGTGGTGGCAAAGGAGATATTTAAGAGATGGAAATAATATAATAAATAGGCATTTATTTATCTATGTATAATTTGCCAGAGGGCATGTGTGCTTACCAGAGAGAGAGGAAGTGAGAAAGTACACCCCAGGGAGGATGGCCATACCATAATCCCTTCTCTTCCACTTCTCTCAAGATTTTGGGCACACACACACACACACACACACACACACACACACAGTGTTTTTCAAGCCTCTGGGTCTGGGACTCAAACTGTGTAGTTGGCCATGTGAGATCCAGTCACCTCAACCACCATACCAATGGCTGGCCCTGCATTCATTTATCAAAAACCTATCCAACATGTGGTATATTTCAGGGACTGCTCCCAGCACAGATACACTAGATCACAAAATCAATCAAAATAGGCCCAGCCACCATGGTACGTCTGATTGACGTTGCTGCTTTGCAGGCTGAGGCCACATGAGAGCAAGTTCCACTCCTGGCCCACCTTAAAAAGTCAGGTGTGGCAGTGTGGGCCTGTAATCTCAGCGCCTCCAGAGGCCACGATGAGAGAATCATCACCATATAGCAAGATCCCATTAAAAACAACCACAAATCAATTCTGAAGTAGTTAAGAAGATAAGTAAACAAAATGTAGGGCCGGCCCCATGGTGGTTAAGGTAGTGATAACCGTACATGGCCAACTGTAGTTCAAATCCTAGCCTAGAGGCTTGGAAAACTTGCCTAAAATCCTGTTGGGGTAGAAAAACGGAGAAGGGATTGTAGCATGATCATATCTTACTGGGAAGGGGTGCTTTCTCCCTCTCTCCCTCTATCTCTGGTGAGTGAATGTGCCCTTGGACAACTAGGAAAAAAAAAAGATAGGCAAAATGTATAGCATGCTCTATAATAGTAAGTGCCAAGGAGAAAAACAGAGAAGAGAGAAATGGAATCTTACAGGGTATAGCCATGGGGGGAGAGTTGCTGTTTTAGATATGAGATGAGATGTGAAAAGACCTAAGGAGAAAGACTTCATAGAAAGATGGAGTTAGCCATGTAGGTCCTTGGAGAAAGAGCAGAGAGAAGAAATGGTAATGTACAAAGATCTTGAGATCCAATGGGATGAGGAACATCAAGGGAACAGTACCGGCTATGATTTGAATGTGTTCCCCTCACATTCATCAGTGGGAACCCCCATGACTCACTCCTGGTGGGTTTACAAGAAATAAGTCCAGAAGATGAATGGACATAGACACATGCACTCCCGTTTACTCATCCACCCTAAAGCCCTGCACCACCGTAGGACTGCACCAGGAAGACTCACCAAATGTACTTTACTCTGGACTTCTGAAACCACGAGCTAAATAAATGGCCAGGTGGCGTAGTGGTTAAGGCACTGGACTCCCACATGGCTGTCCGTAGTTTGAATCTCGGACTTGGCAGCTTGAAACTCACACCAGGCATATGTACATGTGTGTCCAAAATCCTGAGAGGAGGCTGGAGGAGAGAGGACTACAACATGGCCATCCCTTTGGGGGTAAGTTATCACTTTCTGTTTTTCTGGTTAGCACATGCACCCTATAGCAAAAATCTCTCAAAAAATAATAATGATGGGAACCAGCAGTTAGCATAATGGCTATGTCGCTGGACTCCCCCATAGTCGACCACGGTTCGCGTCTCGGACCCGGTGGCTTAATGTGCGTGCATGCCCAAGAGCCCGAGAGGAGAATGGAGGAGAAGGGATTGCAGCGTGACCATCCTCCCTGGGGGGTGATTTCTCGCTTTCTGTCTCTATGTCTCTCTCTGTCTGGCGAGCGCACGCACCCTATAGCGAAAACCTCTCCAAAAAAAAATAATAATAATGATAAAAGACCTAGTCTCAAGTATATCCTGTTATTAATAGAATGGTACCTGATACTTGTTGAATAAATATTAGTTTCTGCTTAGAATCTAGATCAAAAGTTGTCACTATGAAGTTTCTGAACCTAAATGTAACTCATTTGCCACATTCCACAGCGATCGGGGAATCTACCTCTTATGTTCTCTGAGTATTAACGTGCACAAGGATTAAAGGTCTTTACTTCATGTAGATGTGTCTGACATAGGCTTAAAATATTTTTCTTTACTAGAAACCCAACAAACCTACTTATTTTTTCAATTTATAGGTCTGATTTTATAAGCCTCACATCCAAGAAATTTCTAGGCACTTAAAAATAAAAAAAGACTTTCAGGGCCAGAGGTGTGTAGTTGCTAAGGTGCTGGACTCCCATGTGATCAATCATAGTTCAAGTCCTGGACCTAGCAGCTTTAAACTGATACCGGGTGGATGTGGATGCGTGCCCAAAATCCCCAGAGGAGAATGTAGGAGAAGGGATTGCAGTGTGGCCATTTCCCCTGGGGGTGATTTCTCACTTTCTCTCTCTCCCTGTCTCTCTCATGAGTACATGCACCCTATAGCAAAAGTCTCTTTCTCTCAAAATATGACCTTTGATTAAATAATTTATTTTTCTTTAATTAGAAGGGGAAACCATGTTCTGCTTAAGACAAAAAGATGGAAACTCCAAAAGTTTAAGTTTGATCCATTTTTATTATTGCCATTTGTGGGTATTCTCCCAAATCTCTACCTAAGTCCCAATGGTGTGTGTTCGTCTCTAGTCTCTCTGTGCTGAAATGTTTGGCACTGGTGTGTGAGGTATCTCTCAGGGAACAGAGCAGTGGTGTGTGGATGAAATGTCGGCGACCTGATGACATTCAGTGTGAAATGCCACTCCATACAGTATTTCAATACATTTAGAGAGGCTGAAGATTTTATGTCAAAAAAAAAAAAAAGAAAAGAAAAGAAAACATGTGAATTATATAAAATTTATGTGTAATTAAAAATAAAAATATATCATAAACAAACATGTATAGTTCAAATTTTGCAAAGCTTTCAGATAAGCCACAAAATCATGGAAATACTATAATAAAATTATTTTTGTCCTTCCATCACGTTGTCCATAGGGCCAGCTCCCAGGGTATTTTTCTATTTGTATTACATGAAATCAGCTTTCAGCTAAAAAAATAGGTGGTTATAAATGAGAACTATCTGAGCCTCAAAAGGTGATATAGACAAAAAAAGGTAATTAGGAAAAGCAGAAATGCCAACATTAAAATTCAGATTCATATTCTAGTAGATGTGATCAATCTCAACCTTGTAAACAAGTTTTCAAGAAAACCAGGCACTTAGTGTCCTTTAACTTTATATCCAACGACTGCATCAAACCTAATGTTGATCTTCCGTTTTAAGATCACCAGAAAACGCTCAGGAAGGATCCTAAAAGAAAAGCGCATGAAAACAATTAGGGAGATAAAATGAAGTGCTCTTGTAAAATACCTTCTTTTTGAATTCTAATATTTAATTTATTAGGTATTACATCACATTTATCTTAAACAAGATGAAAAATGTCAACTCTGAGTGGATACTGTATGTCCTTTTCCATTAAGTTCATTTCTTTTTCAAAAGAGAAAAGAACTATTTAGGCTTCTGGAGGATAAGAGCAACTTGAAATGTTTAACTTTTGAAATAAATCTATTCTTTCTTTTTTTTTTTTTTTTTGAGAGGTTTTTGCCATAGGGTGTGTGGGCTCACCAGATAGACAGAGAGAGACAGAGAGACAGAAAGCGAGAAATCACCCTCCAGGGAGGATGGCCATGCCGCAATCCCTTCTCCTCCATTCTCCTCCTGGGATCTTGGGCACACACGCACATGCACCTGGCGTGAGTTTTAAGCCACCAGGTCCAGGACTCGAACCGCAGTCGACTACGTGGGAGTCCAGTGACACAGCCATTACGCTAACTGCTGGTCCCGTATTCTTTCATTTTTCAAAACATCTAAAAGAGGAGATGTATAAAACTGAATGGTTGAGATACTGAAGTCTTTATAAAAAGAAGCCTAGAGGCCAGCAGTGGCGTAGTGGTTAAGGTGCTGGACTCCCATATGGCCAACCATGGTTCAAATCCCGGATTTGGTGGTTTGCTTTCTACTTTCTCTCTTTCTCTCTCTCTCTCTCTTTCATGCTGGTCAAATTTTAAAGAGTAATAAAATTAAATAAAATAATTACCTAGAAACAAAAACCAGAAGCCGAGGGCTAGCAAGTAGCATGAAGGTTAAGGTGGCTGGATCCCACATGGCTGGTCATGCAATTTGAGTCTCAGATCTGGTGGCATGGAAAGCACACTAGGCGCGTGTGCATGCATGGCTCAAATCTCAGAAGGAGGGAGAGATGGAGAGGAAGGAGTTGTGGGTGACCATGCCTCTTGGGGTTTCTGCCTTTCTTTCCATTGCTCTTTCCTATAAGCACAACACTTTCTGGCAAATTAAAAAGCAACAACAACAACAACTTAAAAACTTGTGTAAATTATTCAGTTCATTTACCCAACAGCTATACCAATCTGGCTTTGATGACTAAAACTTGTGGTTTTACAAATTGATGGGTTTCAGGGCCAACGTGGTGGCATGGGTGCTGGACTGCCACATGACTGACCATAGTTTGAGTCCCAGACCTGGTGGCTTGTTTTCTCACTCCCCCCTCCTCTCTCTCACTCTATCCCTCTCTGGTCAAATTAAAATTAATTAATTAAAATAAAATAATTCTTGGGACCAGGAGTTGGTGTAATAGCTATGTCGCTTGCCTCCCATGTCGAGTCCCAGACCTGGTGGCTTAAACTCACACCGGGCACGTGTGCATGCATGCTCAAGATCCTGAGAGGAGAATGGAGGAGAAGGGATTGCGGCATGGCCATCCCCCCTGGGGGGTGATTTCTCGCTTTCTGTCTCTCTGTCTCTGTCTTTCTGGTAAGTGCACATTCCTTATAGCAAAAACCTCTCCACACACACAAATAATAATAATGATTCTTAAAAAAAATTGGTGGGTTTCTTGGTGCCAGCAGGGGGCATGGTGGTTAAAGTCCTGGATTCCCACCTGGTTGACTGCTGTTCAAATCTCATACATGGCAGCTTCAAAATCGCACTGGGCACGTGCGTATGTGTGTGTGTGTGTGTGTGTGTGTGTGTGTGCCCAAAATCCCAGGAGGAGGATGGAGGAGAAGGGATTGCAGTGTGGCTGTCTCCTCCAGGGGGTGATTTCTCACTTTCCCTCTCGCTGTCTCTCTCTGGAGAGTGTATGAAACAGATGGCAAAAACATTTTTAAAAAAACCTGATGGGTTCCTTAAGCCTATTAGTTCTATTAACTTAATTCCTTTCATTGTACTTATCAATGGTCTGATGTCAAAGATGAGTAAAAACATATAGAAATGCTCATTTCCAACGCCAACAAACACAACTGTCACTTACCTTTCCAATAATGTTAAAAGCTTTATAGAAGATGGAACAAAAATCATTTTCTGCTCGGTCAGGATCCCATTCATCAGCTTGTCTACGACTTGCTCAGGTTCCAGAGTGGGGCCCAAGCTGAAACAGAGGCAGTCTTTAGTACAAATCTTTTCACCGAGGCCTCAGTTTTAGTGTGACATTAAATAAAGAAGTTAAGTTACTATGGGAACCGTAACATAATTGACTTGCAGCATCTAGCCCACGATAGGTGCTGAGCAATGGCAGTAACTTCACCACGAATGATTATAACCGCATTTTAATTATTGCTTATGATACTATTTCACACTGCACCAAACATTCCAGGTAGTTATCCCATTGAGATTGTATAACTCTTTTTTTTTTTTTTTGAGAGATTTTTGCTATAGGGTGCGTGCACTTGCTAGAGAGACAGAAAGCAAGAAATTACCCCCTGGGAGGATGGCCATGCTGCAGTACCTTCTCCTCCATTTTCCCTTGGGGATTTTGGGCACATATGCACACATGCCTGGTGTGTGTTTTAAGCTACTGGGTCCAGGACTTGAACAGTGGTTGACTATGTGGGAGTCCAGCAATGTAACCATTATGCCATCTGCTGGTTCCTACATCACTCTTTTGAAGATGGTACCATAATCCCTGTTTTACAAGTGAGAATTACAGTAATAAGTAGGATTTAAAATGGTTTAGCTAGATTAGGACTGACGGATTGACTCTTGAATCTTCAGCTTTCTAGGGAAGGAAATGAGATACCACTATGTAACTTTTACATATATACTGAGTCTCTTTTTATAACTATAGGTATGTGCCTGATCTTCACATGGAAGCTTGATACTTTTTAGGTCTTGATTTACTTTTTAGCACTGTTACTTAGTTACATCTTCACTGTGTAAGCCCCTGTAGATATGTATCACAGACTAGCAGATGGTCCCTAGAAAATGACTTTTAAAAAATCTGGTGTTGGAACCAGCAGATGGTGCAATGATTATGTCACTGGACTACCACGTGGTTCGAGTCCTGGACCTGATGGCTTGAAACACACTCGGTGCATGTGTGTGCACACCCAAAATCCCAAGAGGAGAATAGAAGAGAAGGGATTGTGGCATGGCCACCTCCCTGGGAGGTGATTTCTTGCTTTCTGTCTCTGTCTCTCTGGCGAGTGCACACGCCCTATAGTAAAAATCTCTCTAAATAAATAAATGAAACAGAATAAATAATTCCTGGAAAAAAAAAAGACCTTGAAGGTGTGACAGAAAAGAAAATAAAAAGTAAAAGCAATGGCTTTTGGCATTGAAGACAGCGGAAGCTTCAGGAGGCTGAGTGGTCCTTCTGCAGTGTAGGCAGATGGTGTCAAGGAGGATGAGTCCAGAAACTGAAAAGCTGCACTTGAAAAGCATGCAGAGACAAGTGCTCTTGGCAGCACGTTGCTCCCAGGTTTCGATATTCCCAAGCTCCCTGAAAGCTCATGGGCACCTGTGTACACAGTGTCGCAGCCTCCCCGGTCTGCAGCGTGGCCTTGCTGACCTGTCGGTCAAGTGGCACTGCCTGGCTGAACTTCCCTTCGTGTACCTGGTCTCTTGACCTAAGGTTTTTAGTCCTATCCCCATCAGAGAACTCCTTACTGAAATGTAATGACTGTCTGATATCATAACTCTAAAGGGTCAAAAGAAAAGGCTTACAGAAAATTTCAGTATCATGGCAGAATAAAGTCTTTTTTTTTCTTTTTTTTAATGTTTTTGTCATAGAGCACGTGAGCTTGTTAGAGACGGAGAGAGGGAAAGTGAGAAAGGGATGGCCATGCTGCAATCCCTTCTCCATTCTCTTCTCGTGATTTTGGGCACACATGCACAGATGCCAAGTGTGATTTTTTTTTTTGAGAGATTTTCGCTATAGGGCGCGTGCGCTTGCCAGACAGACAGAGAGAGACAGAGAGACAGAAAGCGAGAAATCACCCCCCAGGGGGGGATGGTCACGCCACAATCCCTTCTCCTCCATTCTCCTCTCGGGATCTTGGGCATGCACACACACGTGCCCGGCGTGAGTTTTAAGCCACCGGGTCCAGGACGCGAACTGTGGTCGACTATGTGGGAGTCCAGCGACATAGCCATTATGCTAACTGCTGGTTCCCCAAGTGTGATTTTCAAGTTCTGGGTCTGGGACTCAAACTGCGGTCCACCATGTGGGAGTCCACACCACCTGCTAGCCCCAGAATAAAATCTTACTCATTGGAGCCAGTAGATGATGTGGGGGTCAAGGTGCTGGATCCCAAACCGCCTGCTTCTATTCCCGAACCCCAGCATGGCCATTCCCCCTGGGAGGAGTGATTTCTCATCCCTTCCCCCCTCCTCCCCCGCAAGTGCCTACACCCTATAGCAAAAAATCTTTAAAAAAAAAAAAAAAAGAATCAAATTTTAATCATTAAAATGCAGTATGTTTTTTTCTCTGACATTCTAATGTTAACGAGAGTTGCAAATTGTATTAAATCCAAATATTCATAATGGATTTTGTAGAAACTATCTAAAACCCAGCCAGCTCCATGGCCTGGTGGTTAAGGCAGACAGATCCCACATGGCCGACCATGAGGTTCGAGTCCTGGACTTGGATGCTTGAGAGAGACGCTGGACGTGTATGTACTTGGCCCGAATCATGAAAGGAGGAAGAAATGGAGGAGAAGGATCGCAGAGTGACCATTCTCCACGAGGAATACTTTCTCCTATCTCTCTCTCTTTGGTGAGTACATACACCCTCTAGCAAAAAAGTTAAAAAGAAAGCAAGAAAGGAAAAGAAAGAAAGACTATCCAAAACCTCTTTTGGCTAATCCATTGGGAAGAAGAGCGGAGAAACACAGAAGAAGGAGTATTTTAGGAGAACTGTGTTTGATTCTCTACCATTTAAATAGCTGAATAATTTTGGAGAAAGCATTTCAACTCTTTGAAGCTTGGGGTTTTGTTTTTATTTCCTTAATCTGAAAAATGGGGTTAGTATAGTCGTGTGGTGATTAATGTTTAATAACTAACTTCCCAGGAGACAAGAATTCCAGTTTTGTAGCATTTGCTGATTTTCCATGGTATAAATTCTCCCACCACAACTGATTTAAAACAAACAAAACATTTTTTAGGGAGAGATTTTTGCTATAGGGCATGTGTGCTCGATGGAGAGAGACAGAGGGACACGAAGTCAGATATCACCCCCTGGGGATCTGACCATGCTGCAATCCCTTCTCCTTTCCCTTCTCCTCTCAGGATTTTGGATATACATGCCTATGTGTCTGGCATGTTTTAAGCCGCCGGGTCCAGGACTTGAACTGCGATCAACTACATGGGAGAGTCTAGTGATGTAACCCTTATACCATCTGCTGGTGCCCCACAATGGCTGATTTTAAGCTACCAACATGACATCACTGAAGACAAACCAACACCAGCATTCTCTGGCAGGTGACAGTCACATGGAAAAGTACACACGCAGGATAGTCATCCATTCCCACAGTGACTATTAGAGACCTAAATGTCCACCAGATGAGACTATCAGACCTAAAGTGTCATGTCAACATTGAAAAAAAAAAAGAGTAAAGTAACTACATACTGAGTCATCTGAAAAGTCATGACATTTTTTGCATAGAAGAAAAATACGTCATGACTTTTCTGACAACCCAGTATCAACCACGGGAAGCGGTAAAGTCATAAAGGTAGTCTGCAGAACATCGTGTATGTTTCTGTGCACAAAGAAAAGAAATGCATTAAGATAAGAAAATGTAGCCAGTTAAACTGGAAAACTATAACTGGAAATATAATCTTTTTCTTAGTTTTTTTTTTTTTTTTTGGTTTGTTTGCTCACTGAAGAGACACAGAGAGAGGGAAAGTGAGAAAGCACCCCCAAGGGAGGATGGCCAGGCCACAAGCCCTTCTTCTCCATTCCCCTCTCAGGATTTTGGGCATGCATGCACTCACATTGCACCTGGTGTGATTTTCAAGCTGGGTTGGGCACTTGAACCATGATTGACCATGTGAGAGTTCACCACTGTAACCACCAGGCCACCTGCTGGTCCTGGAAATCTAACTTTTTAATAAAGTGGTTATCTAGGAAGAATAGCATTTATAGTATTTAAATGCAATAAAGGTATTTCCAATGAAATAGTTAATATCCATTTTAAAGAGGATGATTCTCAGGGAAAACATTTCAATTTAAAATTTATGTTAAAAAACAAATCTAGCAGGTCAGAGAGATCTGGGTTGAAATCCCAGTCTACTGCTTCAGGGCTGTGTAACCTTGAGCAATGTTCTTAACTTTTCCCAGTTTTACTTTCTTTTTCTGTAAAATGGAATGATAAGATTTGCCTTAAGGAGCTGGAAGGTGGCGTGGTCATTAAGGTGCTGGATTCCCACATGGCTGACTGCGTTCAAGTCTCGGACCTGGTGGCTTGTTTTCTCTCTCTCATCAAGTTGAATAATAATAACAATAAATAAAATTAAATGAATAGTTCTTAAAAAAAATGACTTATCTTGCAGCATTGTTAAAAGAATTAGAGCAGGTGTAGGCTAACTATGCCCGGGGGACCAAATTTGACCTTTCAAGATTTGAGATTAGTAGTAATTTATGTTACTAGAGTTTTTGGTAGTTAGTAGACCCTCACTCATCTTAAAAGACTATTTATTGATATCAAGTTTATTTAGTACAAATAAATTATTTGTAAGAATAAATTATTCATTCCAAACTTCCAAAAAATTCATCAGATTGCCTGATTACATTCCATTCCAAACTCAGATTATGCTGTCTTAGAACCTTTATAGTAAGCCAGTTTCTTTTTTTTAAAAAAGAATTAATTAATTTTATTTATCATCATTATGTTTTTTTTATATTTCTACAGGGGACATAAGCTTACCACAGAGAGATAGAGAAAGAAAGAGAGAAAGCAAGCCACCAAGTTCAGGATTCGAACCGCAGTCAGCCATATGAGAGTCCAACACCCTAACTACCACACCATTTTTTTTTATTGCAGGATGTTACATGTGTAAATAAAAGAACTATAACCTACATCTAGATGTGTTTAAAAAGAGAATTTAGAAGCCGACTCTTTGGCTCAGTGGTAAAGCACTGCTCAAGAGATTCTGGACCCCACATGGTGACCGTGGTTTTAATCTAGACTGGTCTGCCTGAAATGTGTCTGGCACATGTGTGAATGCCCAAGGTCTCATGGGTTGGAGGATTAGTGGAAGGGAAATTCAGTATGATCAGACTTAAGTCTGAACATTAATATGAAACAAATTATTCCAAATGTAGCCATTTATAGGTTGGTTCAATTTTCTTCATTCAGAAAGGCTCTGTGGGAAGCATGGTTTGAATCTTAGTCCTGCTGCTTATGGAAAACTTGTCTAATCTCTCTAAGCTTCAGAATTCTCATTTACATCTTCCTCAAAGTATTGTTGTAGGATATAAGAAAACGACAGATTTGGGGCCAGCAAGTGGCGCAGAGGTTAAGGGGGCTGGATTCCATATGGCTGACTGTGATGTGTGAGTCCTGGACTGGCAGCTTGAAAGTCATGCCAAGGGCGTGTGCCTGTGTACCCAAAATCCTGAAAGGGGAATGGAGGAGAAGGGACTGCAACATGGCTACCACTTTGGGTGTAATTTCTCACTTTCCTTCTCTCTCTTTCTGTTTCTATTTGGTGAGTGCACATGCCCTACGGGGGGTAGAGGGAAGGAGAAAAGAAAAGGAAATGACATTTTATTTAGTGTCCAAAGTATAAATAGGTGTTAAATTAGGGTATGGGTTCTCTTTCCTCTAATTAGAAGTACAGTGCCAGGTTTCTATAGGAGAACCAACCTTACCTTTGGGGTCTATTCTAGTACCACCATAGCCTCACCGGGGTTCACACGGCAGGACCAAGCACCTAGCGTCTGTCTTAATCAAGTTTATAAGCCAGAACTGCGTTAGCTTGGGAGTCACATTTTTCCCCCACAGCAAATTTCATAATTATTATTACTTCTTTACTCACGAGAGTGCATGCATGTGCACACGACAATGGGTGACGTGAGCAGAGAGGAGAGGAGAGGAGCACCCTCCATAAGGTCAGGCCAAGCTGCGACCCCCTTTCCACCAGCTTGTCAGATCTCAGGCAGACAGGTGCATGCCTGGAGAGTCTCATGCAGATCGGGCCAGGGATTCTGATGGGTTGACACGTGGGATCAGGCCTCTTAAGTGGAGCATTACTGCTACATGGAGGCAGCCCAAGTCCTAGTCTTATTTTTAAATTGTACTAGTAGAGTTCCGCCAGGAGAGGGCACCCTTGCTCACATTAAGGTTAGCTGGGTGCAGTCTTATCCCGGGGACAAGGTTGGAAAATTCATTTAAGCTTACAGATAGAATGGTGTCTGTTTTTAAGTAATGAAAGGTGGTCTGAGAGAAAAACTTGACCCAAACATGTTATTTTAGTACCTAAATCCTAAAAATAATAGGAGAAATTAATAATAAGTAATAAAAATAAAAATAGGAGAAATTCGCAAGTTTTATGTTTGACCTCCAATAAGTTTTAGTGAACTCTTATCCTCTGCTCTTTCTCAGCCCCACTCTCCACCCTTCTCCTTTCATTCTAGGATCCAGTTAGGATTTTCCTGATGAAAACAGATGAATTTAAGCACTTCTGAAATACATACCCATACCTTTGTTTTCTAACACGACTGTGTCTCAAAATGGATTCTCAGGGTCAGGCCCTGAGTGCAGCAGTTAAGCACCACGCAGAGGAAGCCGGATGGCACATGGTTGACCAGGGTGAGAGTCCCGGCTCGGGTGGCTTGAAAAGCACGCTGGGTGTGCATGCATGTGCACAAGACCCCAGCGGGATGGAGAATTGGAGGAAAAAGGACTCCTGGCCCCCCTGGGGTGTAGGTGGGCTCTTTCTCTTGCATGCACATGTGTCCTTTGGCATTAAATAAAATAAGATTTTCAGCACTATTTGAGAGATGCTTGGGGCTGGAAATCTTTGGTGAGCTTCCAAATTTCTACCTAACGTTAACTTTTGTTAGGTGTCTGCTTCAAATGTAGGAATGCGGTTTTTACAAACTTTGGGGATTTCAGTATGCCACACTTAAGTCATCCACTTATGGGCTTTGAAAATATTGCTATTTCTGGTGGCCAACCTGTGGGGTGACTTAAAGTGCACTTGAAATAAAAAGTGCTATGTTCCCAAGCAGCCACACTGAATATTCCTCATTACTATGAAATATATTTTCACCAAAGGAAGCTGAATTCGGGGAGAGTGGGCAAGTTGAGTGGGCAGAATTAAACATAAAAATAGAATGTCATCATCACAATAAAATAGAGAATTCAGAAATAGATCCAAATAAGCATGTGAACTTATAATAATATAAATTTCAAATCAGTGAGTAAAATGTTAATCGTTCTGCAGTGCAGGACAACTTGTGAACTATTTGGGGCAAACAAACTACCATGGCTTCACTTCTTAAATGACAGTCCATCTGGCTAAAGGTAAGCTCTAAAGAAAAAAGTGCAATCGTAAGATATGTACTAGAAAGAAATATGGGTCGATATTTTCATAAGCCTGGGATCAGAAATACGATTCTAAATACCTTACAGAATATAAATACCATGAAAAAAAAATTGGGGGAACAGCAGTTAGCATAATGGCTATGTGGCTGAATTCCCATGTAGTTGACCGCGGTTTGAGTCCTGGACCCGGTGGCTTAAACTCACACCGAGTGTGTGTGCGTGAGTGCCCAAGATCCCAAGAGGAGAATGGAGGAGAAGAGATTGCGGTGTGGCCATCCCCCTGGGAGGTGATTTCTTGCTTTCTGTCTCTCTGTCTTTCTCTGTCTTTCTGGCGAGCACTCGCGCCCTATA